CACACGCACACACACGCACACACGAACCCCACACACGCACACACACGCACACACGCACCCCACACACGCACACACACACGCACCCACACACGCACACGCACACACGCGCACACGCACACACACGCACACCCACACACGCACACCACACACGCACACACCACACACGCACACGCACACACACACACGCTCCCCACACACACACGCACCCCACACACGCACACACACGCTCCCCACACACGCACGCACACACACACACGCGCACACGCACGCACACACGCACACACACGCACCCCACACACGCACACACACACGCGCACACACGCACGCACACACACGCACACACACACACGCACCCACACGCACACACACACGCACACCCACACACGCACACACACGCTCCCCACACACGCACGCACACACACGCGCACACGCACGCACACACGCACACCCACGCTCCCCACACACGCGCACACACACGCGCACACACACACGCACGCACACACGCACCCCACACACACACAAGCGCACGCACACACACGCACCCGCACACACACGCACGCACACACACACACGCACTTTCACACGCTCCACAAGCACCGCGCACGCAGTGCAGGGGAGCACGTATCGTTTTGCAACACCGTGCACATGCATGGCGCACGCTGCACGAGACACGAGCTCGCCTCTCCACATCGAACGTGCCCGACGATAGTCGAAACCCGCCGGCTGCAAACTTCCAAAGGTGGTGGGAGGGGGACATCACCGATGTGAAGTTGGTGTGGACACGTGCGCATTTCTAGACTGCGACTTGCCGCATCTGGCAACGATTAAATCATTCACACGCACGTGAGTTGCTGTGTGTGTGTGCGCGTGTGCGTTTGGAAGTCTTTGGGATGGCCTGTACCTCAGACTCTGGCGAGCAGCGAGAATTAGGCCATGGAATTCGTACAAATCCAGCAGTTTAGCACCGCCATCCTCGTAGTTTAGAGCAAAGTTTACACTTTTAACTGGTAGATATGGAAACGTGCACTCTTAATGAATGCCACTTGTATTTCATGACTGAGGTGTAAAGTATGCGGTGGGCTTTGCGAGTAGTGTTAGACGCGTCGCTACACGTGCCGTATTTTGTTTCATTATTTTAATACCGAGCAAATAATTTGCCAGGTGCCCCGTATCAGAAAAAGTGGGTGTCCCCTGCAGGTCTGTTAACACAGTGGCTCTCAGTTATTTGCACTGGCCGGGGACTGTGTAACGTACGTCGGGCGCTGTTCTCATCGTTTGGTTCTGGGTCCTGTTACTTTCGCAGAATGACCCACATTCGACCTTCCCTGGTCCTTAACGGTCCAACATTGCAGAAGAAGGCTTGCGAGTTTTGGCTGAAGCTATGTAAATGTATGGACGTCGGAGCTTCTTTCGCACCGTACGTAACCAACCGTGCCGATCGAAGGTGTGGGGTCGAAAGACAACAAACTAACCACAAAAAGTTTTTTTTTAAGAAATGAGTTTTCAATCTAGATTATTTCAAAGTGCTTTGCTCCAGCGGCTTCCTAATATCGGAAGGAAAAAGCGTTCCAGACGGCCGCAGGAGCGCATCTGAAAGCGCGCGATGCGGTGACCGTCTTTGTTCTTTGCTCTCTTAGTGGTCAGTTGAGAACAATTGGATGGAGGTTCCATTTCCTTCGTCGTGAATCCGCACGTCTCATACGAACGAGCGCAAGCCGTAACATTGAAAGTCCCAGCTCGCCGACGTGCGCTGCTTGTACGAGTCCTGGCGCCGTGTTGCCAGTTGCTGAGCACTTTTATAGGACGGTCCCATTGCTGGCGTGTGCACACTCGCTGCACGTGTTGTCGGTTAAAACCCGCGGGGATCTTCTATTTCCGCTCAATCCCTCCCTGGCAGGCGTATTCCCCAATGCACTGCCCAAACAATCGCTTCCCCGCCCGCCCGCCCGCCCGCTTCCCTTCTCCCTCCTCCTTTAACACGGCAAAGTAACTGTGGGTGCCCTGGAGGAAAATTCCACACTAATAGGCCGTCCGTCTCACGTTCATTCCCGGAGGCGTGGGGTTAATGAATGCGCGCTCTTGCCCGTTCGATGTTGCTCTGCTCGCTGCTAGCATCATGCCCTATCCACCGTTGGATGGTGGCCTTTCCTTGCCGGGGCCACTCACCGGGGGGTCTAGTTGCTTCTCTGTTTTAATTTTTTATGCTCTGCTGTAACTTGCAACTGAAATATTTATAGTTGAGCAGTACGGGGAGGGCTACCGTTATTGCATGCGGTTTACGCCACATGATTGGAATGCTAAGCGCAACATGTTTCTGCGTGTGTGGCAACCGAACGAGTTCTGTGCTTCAAAAGGTGAATGTGAAATGCCATTGAACGCGTATGGGTGATTCCCGTTGCTAATGCAAAGAAAGACGTTTCTTGAAATTAAATTTTCATCAGGCCTCATGTTTTAAAGTGGACTCTCAAATTATGATGCTCCACTCTGTCTATGCGATGGAGAAAGACCATTGGCCAACGTATCACCTGCTATCTTTTTTTCTGTTACGTTCACACCGTTATTGATGAATGTGTTGATTTATTTTTATTCTTTTATTATTGCATCATTGCACTTCGTAAAAACATCGTGATCAATGATAGCGTTAATGACTCTCAGCATTTCACCTGCAAGTCTTGAATGCGATTTAAAGTAGCAGCTGATAAAGTAATTTACGCATTACTTAGATCGGTCACATACATTCAATGGAACCTCCAATAACACTCAACATGATGAAAACACGGTTAAAATATGCATTTAATTACATAGCGTACAGTATGCGTGGTCTATTTCTTTGACATTTGTGTTCTCCCTATACCCAGTTATATCCTACATGTGCTTGTGGCAGCAAGTCAAGAGCTGAAGTCTCGATAATGAGCTCTTAGAAAGGGGCAGAGAGCGACACGTTACCCTGTGCGCTAGATAGAAAGGTTCATCGCACGACTGCGTCTGCGATCCCTTTTGGTGTCCTTTTTAACCCCACGAGAAGTCACTGCACTTCGCCACGCGTACTCCTGCAGAGAAACGTTCTTCTCGTTGAAATGCCTGACAGAGCCCTTTGCCCAAAGACATCGGTCACGTACATACTTTTCATTTTCGGGCCACAGTGTTATTGACGAATGGTGTAGCATGACAGAGTCAAGCGGATTATGTAAAATTCTTAAAACTCGAATCCAGCCAAATAAAGTGAAACGTTTCTTTGTAGAATGGTGCTTGTGCAATTATTGCTGACTGAGCTAAGACCATCAATTCATAACTATGGAATGCCCTGCCAGCTGTAGTCACACAGGAGAGGTCACTCACCTTGTTTGCAGTCTTCTCTAAAGGCTCACCTCTTCCGCCTGGGCTACACTTGCCATGTACGGCCAGTGGACTCTGGACTCCGCACTATTTACATTTCCTAACTTCGTGCATGGCGCACTGAGATCTTTGGATGAATTGCGCCTTATGAATCGTAAATTATTATAACGCCTGAGATCCCAATTTAATCACAGACGGCTGCTTTGGTTAGAATACAGAATCAATGCTATGGCTATTTTGTTTCTATTATTATTTAATATTATTTTTTATTTATTAAGTATACAGTTTTATTACTTATTTATTTATTCCTATGTGACTTTACCGAAAAAACCTAAGAGTATGAATCCTTGCAGTCACGAAAGCTTCAAATCTATAAATAAATGCTATGGCTCTTTATCTATAAACCTCTGAACCACCAGGCTGAAACTTTTTGTTATGGTTTTAGTTATTTATTTAAACAAACTTCATGGTTTTAAACGGTTGACTGAGTAAATAGTATAGTTAGTTGTGAAAACATCAAGATAGGCAAGTACACTGTCATACAACAAAAGCTTGTACGATCGTAGAGCATTGTACTTCGTGTCATTGACTTATGCCATCCAAGATTACACTTCTCAGGTTTTCCCCTAAACTGATAACAAGTTTTACCTTTGTTGTTCAGTACACCACCCTGCAGCATGCTTTTTTGCTGTATATTATGTAAGAATTTTTACAACGTTTTGCTTTTTAGTGGCAAAACGTAACTAATTCGAGTTCTCTCAAAATCGTAATGTCTTGCTTCGCAAACACACGTCTGCTTTTTTTGGGGGGGGGAGGGGGGTGGGTTAGGTCACGTTAATTGTTTTATGGAAAAATAGAGTTGTGGAATGTACCTTTACAGCAGCCGTAGTTGGAAGTACCGGTAATGTGTGGCAACGTCTTGTATATGGTTATTCGCAATGTGTTTGGCAAATAGTGTCAAAAATCGTCATGCGAAGGTGGTATTCCGATATTCAATTTCACATGCTGGGCACAAGTCAGAACCAGAATTGAGGAGTACAGGCGTGACTAAACAAGAGATGTACTTCCGTTAGCGAGCAACACATGCATAAAAATGGCGTGACTTGCAGGGACCTGTTTAGCCACTGTTGAAATCTTGCACGTCCGCACGTAGACATTTGAGCAAGTGCAAAAGGTCAGACTCACCTCGCTTCGGGTCCTGCAATTACTGACGCAGTTTTCACATCCACGCAAGGGCTTGGGCACGTAGACATTCTGATGCTTTCATGGATCGATCTGGCTGCAGAAACATTCAGTGCAGGACAGGAGTTTAAACAATATCTTGATGATTTCCTCCCCCATCGCATTCAACATTACTTTTGGTCAGAGTAAAGTACCATATTTGGGTACTCGAATTTATATATTTAGTATAATAATACTATTGATAATAGACATAAGTATGTATCTGTTTGATGTCTAATATTAACTTCACAACAGTAGTTTTATTCAAAGTATGAATGCGTGTTCCAGAAGTCACGTGGAATACCTATTTTAAACAAAGAGTCAAAACGGTGGCCATGCAATTTGTATAACTCACGCCAGAGTTGTTTTAATCGAACATTACCCGTTACATAATTGCGGCATGCTGAAATGTACTAACAGACAACTTCTGATTCTCTCTGCAGATTTGTGTTAAAGAAGAAGGTTAGCCTACTGGACCTGAAACAAACCAAGGTATGTGGCTTTAGCCGAAATGGTTCCACGTTTTTTCTGGTGAAAATGACCTTTTTTTGATTGACACACTTTTGTCCGTTGTTCATTTTTTGCACAATCAGCAAAGGTAGGTTTCCCTTTAACATGTAGTAGGGCTTTTGCGACCAATATCATTCATAATACCGGGTTTTTTTTGGGTTAGATCGCGTAAATATAAATGTGTCGTTAAACCCACCACCACCCGACACAGCCAATTAGTAAGGTTTGTCACGTAAACAGAACGTGCCAATTCGTTACGAGTACAGCACAGCGGTCTGTTGGAGAACAAATCTAAAACATTTGTGTACTCAGATTGTAAATGTTGTGGATTTGCTCTCCAACACACCGCTGTGCTGTACTAGTGACGAATTGGCACGTTCTGTTTACGTGACAAACCTTACTAATTGGCTGTGTCGGTTGGTGGCGGGTTTAACGACACATTTATATGTACGCGATTTAACCCTAAAAAAACTGTATTATGGATTATGTTTCCCTGCGGCTGCTTCGAAGAAAGTGTAGAATGCCTTTGCAGTTGTTATCGCAGCATCGCCTCGCCCTTTAAATGATTGAATGCATCTCAGCAGAGAGCCGTCCCTTGCAGCTCAATGCAACAAGCCCCCTCAAAGTTACTTCCGAGTGTGGCTCACATTGCCAGTGCCTTCCCTTTGAGGGCTTGAGCACTAACAGCAAAGTCCTCCACAAAGACCAGACCTGTCTCTCACATTTGTACACTCAAAGTGACCCAATAACCCAGCGTGTTGCCTCGCAGCTGTGGCGGCGGCACTTGAGAGGTTTTGAGATGATAGCCCTTCCTGCAACGTCTCGTTATCATTAATATGGTTTGCGCGCAAAATCTTAATTGTTGCACGTGGAAGTTTGGTGTTGGACTTGTTGTCATCGACTACAAAACCATTTAAATGCATGACAAATTCTCGGTAAGTGATATTAAGGTATAATGAAGATAAATGCGTGAGAAGGAGGGAAAGAGTTGAGCAATCCCTCCCTCACCCTCACATCCAAACTACCTGCTCCCCCCGCATATCCACATTTTTTCAAGGGTATGAGTTGGACAACAACATTTTTGCCTTTGGACATTTCCAACTGGTTTTGTCTTGTTCGACCATCGTAGGCGATTGCACCTGTTTTGCAGGATTCTATTTTCCATATTTACTACCCCCCCGGCTTTCACTGATTTTCCTCTGACCTTTAAACCCTTTCACGTGAACTAACCTTCAAGATTAAGAGGCTCTCACGAGGAGCTTTTTTGCCACGAGCGAGCAGCCCCTGAGTCAGCGCAAACTGGCGCAAGAACCACTCCCATTTGTCCACGTGATTCAGCTAGCCGGACAATGTTGGCTACAGTGACATGAGTCGGACAACAACAATATTAAGTGAGAAATGAAGCCAGGGCTTTATTTTGGAACATTGCCAGGCTCAATTAAGAGTTTAGATAATCTGTGCAAGGTGTATCCGCTCGACAGCACAAGTTACTGTTATTACCTACTTTATAATCCTTTATTATTGTACCCTGTGTTTTCATAAACCTATAATGAGGTTCATAACATTTACAAAAAACTCAACACACGAATCAGTAACACTGCTGTAAAAGAAATATAAATATATACATATATATGACTTTTGTTATTTGTGCGTATGCACCATTGCCAATACAGTATCACATAAACATACATTGCAGGCTGCTTCAGCAGAAAGTAAGTACTGGATTTAACTTTAGTTGCAGTGATGTAAATTTTTAAAATAGAATTATACCATGCATTTAGTTTGGTCCTCACCTCTCTTCACTGGTTTCCTAAAAAGTTGTTCCAAGTGGAGTTTTTAAACGAAAACTATTGTTTATTTTACCAGGTAAGGCCCACTAACCTATGCAGCTCTTTTTCAGAAGCGACCTGTCCACAAATGATAGCTCAACGAAGTGGCTTATCACGTGGAAATGTATCACAGCCAAATACTCTAAACGCATATTTCTAAATGTGGAGGGAAAAACCAGAGGACCCGGAGAAAAATCCGCATGACCACGGGGAGAACACGCAAACTCCAAATATATAGGGTTGGGATCGTACTTACAACTTCCTGTATTTCACCACCACGGCGCCCACGGTGGCGACATGTTTAGATTTCTCCTTCGGACATCTCAGGTTCTCTTGATTGAGACACAGGCAGTGTGGCTTGAACCCCGCCTAGACGCACGTTTAATTACTCTTGCGTGCAATGCTCTGAATTAGCTGCTTTTTAGCAACTTAGTCCACCCCCCGGGAATGTGATACATATATTTATTTTTGTAATGTACAGTCCCTTAAGTAGCTTGTAGAAGAGTTCTTTATATAATGTAATTTATTCAATATTATTATTATTATATATAGAAACCGGTGGGTCTTGTGTCATGAAAGGACGTTTTGGATTCGTTCAATAGGTCTCCTTTGAATGAGTGCAGATCATTATCCGAACGTACACGTAGCTTGGTGTGAGCTTCCTACGTTTTAAGAAAAACTTTTTTTCATGAAATATTTGCTTCCTGCTTGAGACAAATTATGGTGTTGTGCAAATTACGACATTATCATAAACTTCCTGAATGCAAAGCTCACAAATTTTCTTTACAAATAACAGGATGCTCAGATGGAACTTTGAGGATGTTGGATTATATTGACATCCTAACACTTTGACCATAACAAAGGCCCTTCAACACTTTGCCCCATTGTTGGTAATTGAAGCACGGTTAACATTTCTCTCTTCAATTGGCAAAATTGTGAATAGGACGTTTAGAAAGATCTCATTTCCACTTCGGATTAAGTGTGTTCCACTTTATAGCAAGTTTAATGATGCGAAAGTGGGCATTCACCAATTTCCATCCGAGGACAGCTCACGCAAGAATCACCGTGCGTTGAAATCTGAATTTGGATTAGCCGCAGCTTTTCAGGGTATATAATAGTGCTATCACATGGTGCAATTTCCCTTTTCTCATATAGATACGCTTAAAGCCCCGGAAATTGTATCTGTGTGTCTGGTGGCAGGAATTGTTGTGTTGGACTTTATTACAGCAATGCCGCACACATTTGGACAGACCTCACGTGTGAAAAAGGTTGAAAAACCTGTACGGAGCGCCTATTAGGGGGGTTGGTACAAGGGGCTCACTGAGTCTTTATTGGGAGACAGCCTTCGGCGGAGTTTGACTTTTATGTTTGGGGGGTGGGGGGCAAAGGGTTCGTTTCGTCCCTCACATTCGGCATCGCGAGTGCAATAAAAAAATAGTTTTATCTGAAATTTGAAACGACTGAAATTCAATTAATAAAGGTGTCCAGTTTTGGGTGTGGGGGGGGGGGTGTGCGCCCCCCCGTGCCCCCCCCCCCCCAATCTCGTCCCACAGAGACAGCACCGTGCACGTGCTTTCAGCTGCGAGAGGCAGGGGTGTTGTTGACTCTTGCCGGGGACTGAGCGGTGTTGTAATTTGCGTGGTCTGTGGGTGGTGTGTGTGGAACAGGTGTTGGTGGTGAACCCCACGTTCATGAAATATGTTCGCGAGGCCTGGGGTGAGAAGCACGGCCGATATCCCTCCACGGGCTTCCTCACCACCTTGTTTGCGTTGCACGTGTGTGACGAGGTGAGAGGGAACTACTTTACACTGCGCGGGGTGGGGAGGGGGGTGCACAGTGAAGCAGCTTCTGCCTTATTTGTGTCCAGGCTTCGTATGTACAGGGACTCCTCTACTTACGAACGAGTTAGGTTCCAGAGGTCTGTTCGTAAGTCAATTTGTTCGTAAGTCCAACTTTACTCCTGTCGATTCCAAACGTGTTGTGCGGCATGTACACTAAACACGGGGAATAGCTTTAAAAGTTGTGTGATCTCTTGTAGATGTAGATGCCACTGTTTTTTTAAATGTTCTACAGATGTAAATGCCAATTCCCTTTGATGCTGGTGTTTCCTCTCTACTCTCTTGAAAAACTTACCACGAGATGTCTGCACAGTTGCTCTCTTCTCTTCATATATCAACTGGTAACACACAATAGCATCGTGAACAGCTGCCGACACCTTAGTAAACCTTTCAATGTTTGGGCATTGAGACTCAAAGCAAGCCCGTGATTGGCATCGAACAACCACCGCCGTCTATTGCGCGGCGGTTGAACTTACAACTCTCGATCCGAACAGGCAACTGGATATACGGACAGGTTTGTTCGTATCTCTGAAAGTTCATGAGTCGAATGTCCGTAAGTAGAGCAGTCCCTGTATGTATGCTGAACGTCTTTGGCACCGTATGTATCCAACCGCGCTAATCTTAGATGCATTTGGGGGGGGGGGGGCGACGACAACATACTAGACACAAAAAGCAGTTCTAAAGAAATTAGTTTTAAATCTAGATATTAATAGTGCATAGTTCCAGTGGCTTCCGCAATGTGCCACATTGCAGAAATGAAACGTGACACTAAATAAAAAAACATCAACCAGTATGCTGTAAATTTTGATTTAAAGCTTTAGTGACTGCAGGCATTCATCTTCTTGGTTCTTTCGGTAAAGTCACGTAGAAGGGAAGTAATAAAATAATAAAAATAAAACAATAAAATAATTCTCACGACGTTTCGGCCACAACGCAAGCAGCCGTCCTCAGGTGAAGACCAGGTCTGTTGGGGAGATAGCGTCATTCAGACGTGACTTTACCGAAAGAACCAAGAAGACAGTATGCTGTAATTTCACAGGGACCCGAGAGCCTGTGGGTCCCCACTTGTATGTTGGTGCAAGTGTGAAAGCCCTCTCGTGTGTCCTGCGCAGGTGAACCTCTTTGGCTTTGGACAAGACCGCCGCGGGAGCTGGCACCACTACTGGGCAGACACCTACACGGGGGGAGCGGCCTGGCGCAAGACTCTCGTCCATGACGGCGACTACGAAGCGGGCGTCCTGGCGAGGCTGGACGAAGAGGGCGTCATAAACATCTACCGCGAGTCTTGATGAGGAGCTTGTGGTCGTGGTGGGTGTGCCACGGTGGGGGGCGGGGGGGGGGCAGCGCTCTTCGTGATGGAACCCTTGAAGGAGGACCGGTCGAGACGAAGGCTTCAGTGGGAATTTTCAAACTTGAATGACTGTTTTATAATTACTTCCCTGCGGCTGAAAAAAACAAAAATAGATTGCCTTCTGAGCGATCCTTTCGAGGTGGGATTTTCAAAGCCAGGCGTCGTCTGGCTGCGACGCTCATGGACGAGTCATTGGTGGTTGAAACCTGGGCGGTTGCAAACTATTTTTTGCACGCTATGCTTCTTTGCCGGGTGCTGACAATTGCACAGTTTGTCCGTGGAAACGTTGGAACTCGGCGAGACGCGATTGCTCGGCTTTAGGTAGGAGCTGTTCCTCATTTGCTATCGGCTACAAGGAGGGAAATTGAGGAGGGGCGAATCACTGATAAACACATAACAAAGGTGGACATTCCGAAATGCTCTCTGCAACTAAATGGTAATATCACTGGCACTATAACTGTTCACAAATTGTCAACAAAACTGTGATGTGAGTATATATATCTACGTGTAGGTGCTATCCAGCATGTGATTCTGATTGTTTATATCAAGTTGTTTGGTTGACCTACGTTTATACCAAGATTTTTTCATCAGCTACCAAAATAGAATATCACGTGAAGTCACATCATACATAATGTGACGTGTTTAATTACCCATATCACTGTGATTTCTGAAAATCAATGAGAAAAATGTGCACATAAGTAAGTTGAATCGAATGTTTTTACGTTTATCACTTCTACCTATTTTTCACTGGATATGATTGATATGTTGTTGTTGTACAGCTTGTGTCAGGGAATTATGACATTTCGATTTCGCATCCCAACTGCCCATCAGCCTGGATGCAAGCTCAATGAACCTTCCATTTGGCACACATTGAAAATGCAGAAATCTATAAAAATGCGTTGCTTTCTTGTGAAGATGTACAAATACGCGATGAAATAATGCGTTTTTTGAAAATTGGAGGAAAATGAGATTATGATCTCTATAACATTCTGACATTTGCAAAAAAAAAAACTCCACACCTGATGATGATTGCTTGTGTTGCAGTCGAAACGTCGTGAGAATTAAATGTTTATTTTTTATTTAATTATTTCCCTTCTACGTGACTTTACCGAAAGAACCAAGAATATGAATCCCTGCAGTCACGAAAGCTGTAAATCTAAACTCCACATCTCCCTGCTGTAGAATTTCCACCGATGGCACAGGAATATCGACGGGGAGAGGCTGGTCCGGCCATTGGTCATTTTACGCACGGGGATACTTTGACCCGATCGTTAGGGGCCGGTTGGGGGCCTGACCCCCACCCATCCCCTACCTGGAGAGAAAAAAAAGGAAAATGCCACAAGAAAACTATACAAAACTGTAAAAGTTATTTTTTTACTGCACATTAGTGAACGTTTTAGTCTAGCTAATGTACAGATTTGCAATTGCAATTGCTTGTGACTGGAAGTGAACGAGCAGTTATGAGAGTTGGCTCCTTCAGGGTTGGCGTGGACATTCGAGTAAAATGCTGCATGCCAATTATGTAATTGTGAGACCATGTTAAATGTGACCGGATTGAGTGTTTCCACCATCTTATGCACTTATTTCTGATCCGTAAAGCAAAGTTTAAGGTAGTTAGTTGCTACTTGCTTTGTGTAAACACATTTTTTTGGTCATTGTATTCAGTCCCTTGCTTTTCCAGATAATATTTCTTCTTTTAAAAATTGCATTCACTTTTCCCATCTTGGTTTTAACACCTTTGCCATAGCTCGTGTTGCGCATCTGAATACAAAAAAAAAACGAGAAGCTGTGTAAATTTTCAATAGAGTTTACTGTGACCGACATCGTTTATCAAACTCCCCAAGTTCCTACTTTCACAAGTTTTGTATTCTATTAATTTATAACGTAATAATAATAACAACAATGATTACAGCTTATATAGTGCCTTTCATGAAATCTCAAGGCACACTTTCACATCAAGGACAATAGGCTGTGGGATTGGGTACGAAATGGCTCCGAGTTCAAATAGGAAACGCCGTCTGAAAGATAAATGTTGTTAGGCTAAAGGACGTGTGAAGATGTGAAGCGAACCAGATTATTTTGCAGCCTCCTTTAGCCAGTACCTCCATTTCTGCCCGAGAGCTAAACCAGCATGATCACCAGCAACATCTTAAGTCTCCAAATCAAACACGTTATGTAAACGAGAAGAAGATTCAATCGCAGCAGCAATACGCATGTTGGCTGGGACACACGGATTGGTGGCACGATTGAGAGTGGTGCCTTCCCGCTGTTTGCGAGCACGACGTTTGCGTTGTTGTTATTTGGATTGATGTACAAGGGGATGTGGGGCTGAGTGAAGCTGAGTAGATTTGTCGATGACTGGTACCAGCAAAGTTAAGATTGGCCTCTGTGGAGGAAGCTTGTGAAGGACGCTACTGAGCAGATGGAGGCAGTCGTCCTCCAACAACAACGGAGGGTGGACGAGCGACGCTCACAACAACGAGTGGAGCGCCGGGTGGATAAAGCACAGCAAATTTGCACAGTAGGGGGCACAGGTGGTGCATCGGCCGGTCATCTCAGTCGGTCAACTCATGGCACCTGGGTCTCTCCCGTGACCTGCCAGCTGGCGTTCGATCCATAACGTCGCCTTAAAGTACACATAGCCTGGCACAAGCGCCGAGGTGACGCCACCGCCACAAAGGGACGAATGGCAGGTTGTTGTTATTTCCAAAGTCAGAGCTCTACGCTTTTCACCATTGATCCATGCCAGACTGGACGCCAAATGTTGTTGTTGCTTTTATTTATGTTTTAAAGAACCTTATTTATACCAAAATACAACAACAATACTTAGATATTCTGGGTTGTTGCATTGATAAATGAGTTTTAATGTACACTTCTTAGATTGTCTGTTTTAAACAATTATATTATTATACAAGAAAGACGGGTTCCTAACAGTCATGTGGAATTTCCAACACAGGTTTAGGGCTTGGTACTTGAAAGATGAGCACTGTTTAGTTGTTTAAACAAACACAGCAATTACTATCAATATGGTAGAAGCATTCTCGAGTAATTTTCAGTCCTTTGTTTGTATGTTGAACTTCTTTCACACTGTAAGTAACCAACGGTGTTAATCGGAGGTGCGGGGGGGGGAGGACAGCAAACTAAACACAAAATGTAGTTCTTTATAAATTATCTTTCAATCAAATTGCAAAGGTGCACAGCCCCAGTAGCTTCCTAATGTCAGAAGGTAGAGCGGTTCTAGAAGGGCACAGAAGCGCATCTGAAAGTGCGCGATGCAGTGACCGTCTTTGTTCGATAGCTAGCCAAAAGCTGCTGCAGCGAGGACGACCGGAGCTTGCGTGATGGTTCATGCTCCTTGACGAGATCAGCAAACTTTTGTGGTTCATTTGTGGCGAGCACTTTGTGTGTCATGAGTGCGACCTCAGTAATGTATTCGTTCGGCAACCGGAAAAAAACACTGCTGGATGAAGGACCCCTCAAACCGTGTTGGTCCTTAGCTTCAAGTGACCATACTTCCAATCGGTTAGTGCTGTATGTGTGCACGTTGCACAAACCTGTGTAGCAGTGATGCAATTTCAAGTGTCCTCTCATCACAACGAGAGGGACTATGGGAGGGAGGCTGTACGAGAGTGATCGGTGCACATGTTAAACAATCTCGGAAGGCATGCGTGGACGCGCACAGACACTGTCGTACACTTACACTTTCGTATAACTCCCACAATATGCGCATTCAAACTCTTCCGGCAAGTTTGGCTATGGCAAGCAGGCGTCAATTGTACATCCACGTTGATGTTTGTGAGCCATGCGATCGCTTCGGGGAGTGACACGACTGAAACTGTCGAGTGCGCCGGGGAGCGGGCGCAGGGTGCAGTTGGTTTGCGATATGCTCCATCGTTTGGAGTCACCGCACTGCGGGACGTCATCTTTAATGTCCCACTCGTACGTATGGTGAACTTATTTCGCACCGTACGTAGACATCCGTGCTGGTCGGAGATGCAGGACAGAGGCGCACGCAGCAGCGTAGCGGTCGCCGTTCCTCAGCGGTCGGTTGGAGCCACCACCATTTGTTGTTTGCTGAACAAAGCTACTCACTGATGAGATTTTCAAGAGGAGTCGTTGGTGGCAGAACTCCACGGTGGCGCGTTTCAGCGGTCTTCAGTTGACTCCGCTTCATTCAATTGCCTCTCGCGCGGCGATCCCACATTGATCTCTGTTTGCTCAGACGAGATCGGGGCGAGTCACGCAACTGGGTCTTGACGAATGTCCTCAAAAGAGTTCAAAAATGCCAAATATGCCAAATGTGAAGCCTATCGCTCACTCTCAACGTCAATGATATCCCTCTGGACAGCGTTTGGGTCGACTGACGCACGGCAAGAACACGATGTGACGAGTGACCTTTGTTTGAAATATAGCTTTTTTTGGTAAAGTTTATGGTCAGAAACATGAATGATTTCACTTGGGTACAAATATTTTACTTGCGTCGTAATGTTTAAGATCCCGGTAAAGGAAATATTTAATTTCAACATTTACAGCTGCGTGTCAATCCACTGCAGTGTGAGTGCCTCCTCCCCACACCGTGTAGCCACTGAGGGTTATTCGACCATACTTCACCAGGCTTGTCAGTGTGAGCTAGTGAAGGTGGGGTGGTATACATCTATGGCATTTTCTGCACTGCCCTCTGCTGCCCACAATGCCTATTGCACCTGTCATTGGGACATGGTGGTCACCCATCCAGGCGATCCTGACTCCACCCTGATGGCTTTTCATAAGGGTCACATTCCAGGTGATTTGGTCACAGTAACTTTTCTTCTTTGGTTTTTTCGGTAAAGTCATGTATAAAAATAAAATAATAAATTAAATAATAGCATACGACGTTTCGATTGCAACACAAGCAATCATCATCAGGTATAATGAAATAGCGACATAGAATATAACCAGAAAACTATAGACAGACATATAAGCAGACAGATATCACCAAGATACATAGAGAGAGCAACCCAGGTACAGAGAGAGGTGATCGTCTCTGTGGGGTGGCCTTAAATAGACAGAGGGGGGCGGAGGCAGAGAGAGGGAGGGGGTAGGGAAAACATTTACATGTCAATGAGTACGAAGGGAGGGGAGTAAGGTAAGCAGGCTTAGAGGGAGACAGAACACACTAAATTAAATAACCTAGCAAAGTATCGAAATGTTATGTAAAACGACACAGAGAGTCGGTCAACACACAATTAACGCATTGCCTGGTCGATTACGTATTTCAAAGATTGCTAAGTTAGAATTTAAGTGTGAAAATTCCAAAGAAAGACAAAACATAAAAAAAAAATTCTAACTTAGCAATCTTTGAAATACGTAATCGACCAGGCAATGCGTTAATTGTGTGTTGACCGACTCTCTGTGTCGTTTTACATAACATTTCGATACTTTGCTAGGTTATTTAATTTAGTGTGTTCTGTCTCCCTCTAAGCCTGCTTACCTTACTCCCCTCCCTTCGTACTCATTGACATGTAAATGTTTTCCCTACCCCCTCCCTCTCTCTGCCTCCGCCCCCCTCTGTCTATTTAAGGCCACCCCACAGAGACGATCACCTCTCTCTGTACCTGGGTTGCTCTCTCTATGTATCTTGGTGATATCTGTCTGCTTATATGTCTGTCTATAGTTTTCTGGTTATATTCTATGTCGCTATTTCATTATACCTGATGATGATTGCTTGTGTTGCAATCGAAACGTCGTATGCTATTATTTAATTTATTATTTTATTTTTATACATGACTTTACCGAAAAAACCAAAGAATAATTCCTGCAGTCACGAAAGCTCCAAAATTAACACAGTAAACTTCTCGAAGAATACAATAATTGTGGCATGTAAGCTTATAATTAGGCTGAAGTTAGTCTTTGTTTGCACCAATATACTCCTGTAGAGTCTCACCACAAGAATAATGTCATTGATTCGTATTCAGAATTGTAGGTCCATTGCATCTTTTTAACGCTATTGTTATCCCTATTGTTGTCCCTGTACAGTGTTAACTAAACTACGAATGGGTTTACAAGTAGTTTTCAGTAGCATTGCGTTGTTTTTTAGTTGGACATGTACAGCATGTATGTAAACATTTACCACTTTAATTAGATTTGGCGAGACAGTATTCACTTTAGTTAAAATCAAATGTTTCCCTGAAAGCTATATTCAATAGGCTCATATGTATTGTACAGGTTTTAAAAAAAATGTATTTCATACCTCTTTCAAGATAAACAAAAAAGTTGGAATAATATAACCCGTAAAAACAAAGTTTTTCACTATACATCCTTTATATGCGTGGCGGCTAGAGTCCTCTCGTCCTCTGGCTTGAGATGGATGCCACCTATGGGTCAGATGATTGCATGGCAGGATTAAGCAATTGGTAATTAAATATAATATTTTTGTCCTAAAAAGTGTAAAATTTTGGATTTTTTTTCACGAACATTAATTGTCACGCACAACGAGTCTGTGTGGAAAATGTCAGCTCGATTGGATCACGGGAAGTGGGTTAAAAACGACCGAAAGATGTGCACGGTCCTAAGCAAGCAAGCAAGTCAACTTAATATAAAGGATTAAAAATTTAGGTGGTTGAGTCACTCAGAAGTCAGAGCACTGAACTGGCACCACTGAGGTCCTGGGTTCGAATCCATGAACCAACCTGTGATGGAACTCGGTCCTCATGTGTAATGAGCCGATGGTCTTCGCCCTGGCACCAGTGACGGCACAGACAGATCATCGCGTTAAATTTGGTTCTGCAATTAATTTGGGTTAATTTCCAGCCCTGGGAATTAAAATATGGACCAAGAGGTTTGTGGACCAGATGTAGCTCTTCTATCCGATTTCGTTTGACTCTTCTCCAACACAAAGGGTTAAACTCCTCAGAGAGGGATCCTAAATAATAACTGTGTCTCGTGACATGACGCTGAAAATACAATCAGAGGAATATGGCTACTTTTAAAATGGAATGTTGAAAAACACCACAAGACCCCAAAAAACAAAAAAAATATTGATGCCACTGTTATTCCTTTTCTTTCGGATCTTTGTGGGATGGATTATTTTCCAACATGTGGAAATGTTTTATTGAACTCCTGTTGTGTTTATTTTTATGGTCAGGTTATATATTTGTCTGATGCATTGCACAACATTGTAAATAGTCTCAGTCATTCTGATAGCTCAGAAAAAAAACACATTAAGTAGGTAAACCGGAATGTCTTTATTAAGTTCTTTGCGTGACCTTAAGAATACTTGTTAAATGGTGACATTGAGAAAAAATGATTGCTGAGCTTGACACTTTTTGGCGGTGATGATGCTAAATGTCCCGGTTTGTTTTAAATGCGAAGTGATTGGACATGAGATTTATGGGTTTTAACTGTGTTTTAACCTTCAATTTCAAAGGATGACTTTTAGAAGAATAAGGTGCACACCACACCCCGGCTGTCTCTGATGTAATATGCAATTAAATTGGCATTGCCTGCGGCAGTCCTATTTCCCCCCACTGTGACATCACCCACACGATCTTATTATATCACAATGTGACTGCACGTAGATCGTGACAAACACATTACGTACGATGGATAAACAACACAAGGACAGTCCAAATCAAATGTGTAGGGGAAAAGTGTACATGCGTTTTACTTGTCTTACGTGGCAGGGTGATTTAAGCCACGAATGGCATCACTCCCTCACGTTATTTACCTGTTGCTCCAAATAGAACATTTGCTGTGACTTAAAAGTTTAAATTTGACTCACACTTGTGAGAGTGTTTGTTTGGGTTAAGAATGCGCAAACTAGTTTAATTTTGTTTACGAACTTTCTTGATGGGCATAAAAACCTTTAAAAAAGTTGCTGCTTAAAATGATG